AATTCCGGTTCATTTAATCGAAAAATACGAACTTCGGATACCAACCTAACATTGGCCAGACGGTACTGGATGCGCGAAATACTGCGCTCCAGCGTCACTTATCTGACCCACGGCGAAAACAAACATTTCCTTGGGGAGACTCTCCTCTTCCCTACCCTGGGCGTTATGCATACGGGCCAATATTCTGACGAGACAGTTTCGCAACGTTCAGTCGAGCACTGTCGTGGAGAAGACAAACATTTCCTCGCTGCGGACGCTTCTGCCGAATAACGTCGGCCAAATTCTGTATGGTAGATGCGGAAATCTCGGCGGTCGCGGTAGTACCCTCGAGGAGTTATTCGAGGCATTCTCTGATAATCCCACCAGCAACTCAGCAAAGTACTCCTCGGGAGCAGTCCACTTCTCTGCTGCTTAAAGGTGGTTCGTCACGAAGCCCCCGGCGGTTGAGATACAATGTAGTTTCTGTGTGTACCACAGAATTATATTTGCGGCAGCCGTCGATGGATCATGCTCTTGAAGAAATTCGTATTAGACGATAGTTCTCAGGCAGCTTCGGTCGACAGTTGAAGGTTGAAGTCAAGATTGGGAAACACTTACAAGGGCATGCACAAGGGCATGCTTATATACATATTTCCCTAAAGTACAGGTTTGGGAACGGTCTACCATAACCTATTACGAAATCCTTTCGAATGGTCTTACGAAAGAACTAGAAAGGGATGAAAAATCGATTCAAACTTTTAACTCAACCGAATAAATCTCACTACTTATTCCTTACTTCTTTCAACACATAATGAGCGAACTCTCTATCATAGTTCAGCAGGTACTTACGGGATACGTTCTTTACAAGTTCGAAAATGGCCACTTGGAGGCTGAAACATATTGTAACTTGTGTTCCGAGTTCGCTTTAAATGGGTTCTGTGCCCCCCGCTTTCAACATTTGACAGCCCGGAACATAAAGGTAAAATGGAATAGAAAAATAGAAAAAACTCGAACTATAAGAAGTCGTATTATTTTGCGTGAGTTTGGAATGTTTCGAACAGCTGTATAACATGGGTGTTTACCAAATTCCTGCTAAATCACACTCNCACCTTTTTGAGTAGCGTGAAAACAACAAGTCAGTGGGTGTTTACACGGGAAACAGATTTTCTGAAGCTGTTGCTATATAGACGCATGTGCATTTCCAATTCTTCGTCCTGAAAATATGAGAACACCATTGTATAGTGAGCAGCTTTTTGTGCTGAGGCTATTAACTACATATTGTTCATCAATCATATGTGCATAATTTTCCACAAGCTTAGTTTTTTATAAATGTTCTTATCTTCGCCTTCATGATATGTATAGTATGTGTTTGAGCCTCTGTAATACGTTTGTACATAGATTTTGTTTTGTTGGGTTTTTTAGTCCATTTTCAAGAGTTTTTGTAGCTTTACATTTTTATTTAGTTTAACGACTGTTCCTGGAATCGATGATCATTTTCTTTTTAATGGTTCTTCAACGCAAATTCTGAAAAGACTTGCCATTTAGCTTGCAGTCCATTTTTAAATCTAAAGTTGTACAAACAAGTTGCTAATCTTTCATAACAAGGTGTTGGTAGGGAAGAAGTTTTCCTGCGCTATGAAGGATTCATCCTGACTGGTTAATAATTGGAAGAAAAGAAAATGATAAAATACTCAAAATGTATGAGATTGGGATAAGATCAGTTGGTACATTTCGTGTCATCTGCTTTTTTTTCTGTGTGTAAACCTTAATTCTATAGAAGCATATCCACTTCTCGGCGGCGATGGCGCGGGACAGACGCGTTTCGAAGCTTTCCGCTTCCGCGGCTCACCGTTGAGCCGCGCTGCCCCACGGGTTACACATTTTCTTAAAGTGAATATTTTTTGCTTTTTTTATGCGTTCTTTTCATGATTCAGTTGGAAATAGGTGTAAATTGGGTAATTATGAGTTTTTAACTTTGGTTGGGTTTGGTTTTATGCATAATATAGCTTTGAGAGTCGNGAACGATTTAGAAGGTGGTTTTGAAAGGTTATTGGCCAAACCCGACGAAAATAAAATTGAAGAATAAAACTTTCCAAGCTATGTTTCGAAGGTGTACGCATGGGGGCTAAGATTTACTCAAGATTCAGGTTCAAAATTTGCATCGGGAGTCAGCCCACGAGCAAGGATTCAGCAGCTGTGTTTGCTGTGGTCATGACTAATGGACGGACTTTTGAATCAAGGATACATCTCTATACCGATATCTAGTGAATGACTTATTGGAACATAACACCCTTTTTCCGGCACTCGAAAAGGCGAAAAAGAATACAGGAATACTAATAAAAGTCGAGGCAGTTAAAAGGAGGGCAGGTTTTCAGAAAATTTGTCACAAACAACTAACTCGAGTTTATCGAAGTGTTTACGCTCCCACAAGACCAGTCCATCCTAGGGGCAGTAGATGTGGAAGTCATTTTTACATTCACTGTTCAAAAATG